CACAAGCAGCCACACAACCCAAAAGCTCACTTGTATGGCTGCTTGTGCTGCCTGCTTGGCAGCACAAGCAGCCACACAACATCCCGCTTCATCTCGCCTCCTAGTCTCGCCTCATCTCGCCTCATCTCGCCTCACCTCGCTTCATCTCGCCTCACCTCGCTTCATCTCGCCTCACCTCGCCTCATCTCGCCTCACCTCGCCTCACCTCGCCTCATCTCGCCTCACACCTCGCCTCTCACCTCGCCTCATCTCGCCTCATCTCGCCTCACCTCGCCTCATCTCGCCGAGGTACACCTCGCCTCATCTCGCCTCATCTCGCCTCACCTCGCCTCATCTCGCCTCATCTCGCCTCACGCTCGCCTCATCTCGCCTCATCTCGCCACTCGCCTCATCTCGCCTCATCTCGCCTCACCTCGCCTCATCTCGCCTCATCTCGCCTCACCTCGCCTCATCTCGCCTCATCTCGCCTCCTCGCCCCTCACCTCGCCTCACCTCGCCTCACCTCGCCTCATCTCGCCTCATCTCGCCCCACATTTTTTTTCTTTTCTAGACCACTCCGAGACCGACCCAAGACCGACCCGAGACCCGAGATCGACCCGAGATCGACCCGAGATCGACACGAGATCGACCCGAGATCGACCCGAGATCGACCCGAGATCGACCCGAGATCGACCCGAGATCGACCCGAGATCGACCCGAGATCGACCCGAGATCGACCCGAGATCGGCACGAGCGATCAACCCAACAATGCCCCAAAGCCCCCTCTCTGGGGGACCCCCCCTCACCCCGAGTGTCCGTGTCCTTCGCGAGTCACCGATGGGGAGCGGGGGGGGGTGCGAGATGCACAGGGGAGGCTGGGGAGGGGGGGGTCCACTCTGAAGACTGCCGACCGCGGGGGGGTTTTGTCCCACAGGGTTTTACCCTCCGCGTGAGGATCGGCGCGGCGAGGGGGTAGGTTCGAATTCGCCGCGCAACATTTCACCCCCACAGGACCCCGCCCACCCCCCCTCATGGTCCCACCTAGCACCCCAATGAGCCTTCGCACCCCCTCCTTGCGTGGTGTCCCCCGCTATGTGTCGCCGTTATCGGGGCACGCTATCCTGAGTAGTCAGGGCAAGTGGGGGCGGGGGGCAGTCCCATCTCTCCTGTGTACGGGTGGGTTCTGTCTCTAGTCTCGGAGGGGGGCTTGAAGCTAAGAATATTTTATTGTAAGTCTGGTGCACTGGCAGGAGCCATACTCGCATAGGGGACGCGTGCCAGCTGACTGTAGCCAGCTTCCCGGCCTCCGGCGTCTACCGGGGAGCCTCCCGGACCATCGACATCGGGAGCTCTCCCGCACCGTTTAAGCGTAAGGAATCGGCGGCCGAGCAGCTCTTAAAACCGGCCATGGCCGGTTTTAAGCCGTTTAAGCCGCAGGCGCCCCAGGGCCCACCCTTTTAAGCCTAGGGGTACCCTAAGAAGGAGGCTGCCCTCGCGCGTCTCAGGAATGCGGCTGTGTCTTTTGAGTCAGGCGCCGCCCGTTCGACTCTTGCTGTCGCCCTCGCCGAGTGTTTGTCAAGCTTCCGCATGACGTGACGCGCCTCCTCCTTATTTCCAGCGCATTTGCCGCTCAGTAGGTGCGCCAACGAGTCGACGCGTGTGGCGGCTCACTGTCTTCTTGTGTCCAATCGTCCCAGTCTCTCCGTTCTCCGATTCTCCTCCTTGCCTCGCGCGCCTCTTTTGCGGCCGCATCCCTAGCCGCCTTGCACGCTCTGTCTGCACCCCCAAAACGCACTCCTCGTGGCGGGGCCCCCATTCCCCGTTTCTTTTCCCCCTTTAGAATACGCCTGTGGTGTCGGCCCCGTGTGGCAACCTGTTGTCTCACCCTGGCTCCCACAAGCAAGATCGTTTTGGTCGTCACATTGTGACCTCCGACGTCGTCAAATGTCGCCCGCCTGTCCTTCCTCCCATTCTCGTCTGGTAGTCTCATCTTATTGTCCCATGGGTGTTTGAGGCCGGCTGCAGCACTTCCGCGCCTAAATTCTTATTTGTTATTTGTTTAAATTCTTATTTGTTGGACTGTGTACCCTGGTACAGCAAGGTGCGCTCTCTCGCGCCTTGCAGCTCTCTTCGGCATGCGCGGCCGCCGTGCTGGGCCCGTCCTCGTGCTGACGCTCTCATTATTCGTCCGCGAAATTTGCACCATGGCCCCGGCGGAGCGCGAGCAGATGCGTCAGACCGTCGAGGAGATGTTTTATCACGCGTTTGACGGCTACATGGAGCGGGCCTTCCCTCACGACGAGCTGCGGCCAATCTCTGGCGGCTACACGGACGCGCTCGTGGAGCTGGGCGCGCCCGCGCAGCCCACGCGCCGCGGCTACAGCGGCGTCGCCCTCACGCTCATCGACTCGCTCGACACGCTCGCCGTGATCGGCAACGCGAGCGAGTTTGCGCGGGGCGTGCGGTGGGTGTCGGAGAACGTCGACTTTGACATCGACATCGACGTTTCCGTCTTCGAGACCACCATCCGCCTCCTCGGCGGCCTCCTCTCTGCGCACATGCTCGCCAACGGAACGATGGTCGACGGCGCGTCGCATGTGCGGGTGGCGGGCTACGGCGGCGAGCTTCTCGTTCTGGCGCGCGACCTGGGAGAGCGGCTGCTCGGCGCGTTCGACGGCTGCGAGGCGCCACTCCCTCCTCCTCCACCTCCGCCTCTCCTCTCCCCTGCAGCCTCTCCTCCTCGCTGCCGCCTCCCTCCTTCCTTGCCGCCCTGCTCGCCTCTCTCGCCACCGCTCGCCCCTCCCCCGTCTCGCCCGTGCCGCTCCCCCCTCACCGCTCCTCGCCGCTCTCCTCCAGGCGCTGCCGCGCGCGTTCGTCAACCTCCGCGACGCCAAAGCCAAGCAGGCCTCGCGCGAGCCCTCCGCCTCCCTTCTCTTCTCTCTTCTCGGTCCCTCCTCTTTGTCTCTCTTCTCCATCTCTCTTCTCTCTCTCTCGCTCCGCCTCCCTTCTCTTTCTCGGTCTCTCATTTTGGCTCTCTTCTCCATCTCTCTTCTCTCTCTCTCTCTCCTGTCTCTCTTCTCTCGCTCCGCCTCGAGGAACCTTCTCGGAGCCTTCTCGGAGCCTTCTCGGAAACTGCCTGCAGGCGTCGCACCAGCGGCTTGAGCAGTGCAGTGCGGGCGTCGGGACGCTCCTGCTCGAGTTTGGCGTCCTCTCGCGCCTGACGGGCGAGATCTAGCCGAGATCTAGCCGAGATCTAGCCGAGATGTAGCCGAGATGTAGCCGAGATCTAGCCGAGATATAGCCGAGATCTAGCCGAGATGTAGCCGAGATGTAGCCGAGATCTAGCCGAGATCTAGCCGAGATCTAGCCGAGATGTAGCCGAGATGTAGCCGAGATGTAGCCGAGGTCTATGTCCCACTGACTGACTGACGGTCACTCCAGGCGACCCGAGCGATCACTCGTACCTCTAGCTAGCAACACCCCCCCCCCCCTCACACACACACACACACACACACACACACACACACACACACACACACACACACACACACACACACACACACACACACACACACACACACACACACAACGGGCCACCTCCCTCTAGCTAGCAACCCCCCCCCCTCACACACACCCGGTGGGCCACCTCCCTCCCTCGCTCCAGGCGACCCAAGCTTCGAGCACGCCGCGCTCTGCGCGCTGCGGCTGCTGTGGAGCAAGCACGCACCACTTCCTTCCTCCCTCCCTCCCTCCCTCCCTCCCTCCCTCCCTCCCTCCCTCCCTCCCTCCCTCCCTCCCTCCCTCCCTCCCTCCCTCCCTGCTGCAGCTCGGTTTGCGTTGGCCGCCGTCCCTCGACCCTCCTGCGGGGAGATATGGGGAGACACGGGGAGATGTGGGAGATATGGGGAGATGTGGTCTCTCGACCCTCCAGCGGGGAGCGGGCGTCCTGCGCCGTCCCATTAGGCGCTCAAAGTTCGACTTGCTCGGCAACACCCTCGACGTGCGTA